CGTCACATCAACCCATCCCACCTGGTCAGGCAGAAAGGGCATGTTTCAGGTCCCGTCAGCGAGAGAATGTTGACTGGCGCAGCCCAGGAGGAGAGCTTTCTCTGCCGCTGCTCCTAGTAATTTGCATTATTGGTAAACATAAGCAGCTCTCCAGTGATCTACAATCAGGACAGTAGCAGACTTGACAAAGGATAGGATATATCGATCTCTATATACAGTAATGGATTGTGCTGTCCTTTTATGTATAGATTCAAAAGACATCTAAAGGATATATTTCATGGCAGAGTGAGTTGTAGTTTCAACAAAACACTGATAGAAAGATAGCCTTTCTTTTTCTCTGTGTTTTTACAGGTGAGATTCTAAGGAAACTTATATTTAAGAAAAAGCAGATCAGAAAAGATTTGGGAATCTGTACCTCTGGATGAGAAATATAGTTAATTAGTTCTAAATCTTAGCATTTCCTTGGATGCGTGCATGCCTTCTGTTATTGAATGTTGCTGTCATTTAAAAAAGAGATGTGTAATAGTTGGTTAGAATTATGTATAGCATGCAAAGTATGTCAATTTTTCTTGCAGTAAGAAAAAAAGTAAAGATAAAAAACGGAAAAGAGAAGAAGATGTAGAAGATCAACTTGATATAGTTGGTAAGCTGATTTTTTTTCATGGTAAATAAAAAATATTGTATAGAAGTTTTTAATTACCAGGAACCAAAGAAAGATCAATATTCAAATAAACTTGAAATTATAACTGATTGGGACATACCTCCGTCTTAAACAGTTAATATATCGTGTTTCATGGCTGACTCTAATAACAGAACATAAGCCTATTATACAGCAATATTGATGGCTGGAGTCTAGGCGTAATGGAAATAGAAATAGCATTGTGTCTATATTTTCCATATTTTCAAATATCTTATTGGGTAGAACATTCACAGCACTTTATTGTGATTCCCAATACTTCAAGCTGTCTAGGTTATAAACCTATATTCCAAAGCTAGCAGTAGTAAACATGGTCTTGCACATTTATTCTTATCAACTGTTGAGGCAGAAGAACTTTCTACCTCTAAAGCTGAATACTTTATCATTTCAAATTTAAGACTATCACTAGACTTCAAAATGACCAACAAGGACTAGATATCAGGAAAAAGCATTTTTGTGTCTAGTCACCTCCCATATATTTGTAGTCTACTACGTTTAATGTCAATGACAATTTGAAAGGCTGTTGATTAACAGCTGTGATTGTGCATTAACTTTGATCTTTCTTTAAAATGAATTGTTACAAAGGAAAGCTGTTCGCTTGATAGCTCCAAAATCTTTCCTTAAGTAGTTGCAATCCCTTACATTTTAAGAAGCAGAGAGCAGCTATTTTATTTTTCTGTTGTTGTTTTCTCTTACATTAGAAGGCTGGTGGACAGTAAGCAATTTTGGTGAAATCACAGGAACTGTAGCAATAGAGATGGGTCTTGGAACCTATATCAGTGCTCTTGACAATGGCCTTTTCACTCTTGGAGCCCCACATAAAGGTTGGTATCTTATCTATTTATGACAAGAGTAACCATTCTGTATTTCCCAGTGATAGCAAAAGTATGATAAATTAACCTTACAAACAGGCCCAAAGCAGTGTCTAGATTGCTGCCTGCACATAATTATTGGCGTGCCAGTTGCATCCAAGGAATACAGAACCAATTATATTCTATTCATTACTTTAGATATCATTGCATAATGGTGTATCCTTTGTTATCCTGGCACTAGTCAGTAATATCTTTTTAAAAAGGCATGGGTTTATTTTAGGTAGATGCCAAGTTTATGTTTAGTTTTACATCTCTCATGATGCAAAACCAGTGCTATTTATTATTACTATTATAAATTATAGAGAGGTATAGGTAGTGAAAATACCAGAAAAAAGAATAGATGAACTTTAAATTGCCTAATGTCTTTGGTGCATTCTCTGAGCCTTTTGAATCAGTAATTGTTAAAATAATTCTCCAACTCCCAGCAACGATTAAACTATTTAAAGCCAAAGTTCTGAGTTTGATGCTGTATGGTGCTCAGCTATGTATTTATAAGGCGTTTAAAAGCAATTCAGTCAAAATTCTTGAAAATCCTACAGTGAGTTCCTTATTCAGCTTCTAAAGCTCTAACACTACTGGAATTAGGCTGCCTTTCCCTTGGAGCCTGATTAAGTCTTTGCCATCTTAGATTCTGGCTGAAGCAAGTCTATTGGGGAAGTTCCTTAGGCCATCTCACCTTGCTAGATAGGTTCACTCCTACCCTAAGAGGACAAATTACTGATGATTTGGCATACTGTAGTCACCTTGTCAGCACTACCTGTTTTGGGATTTAATAAAAGCCTTGCTGAACTGAAGAGAAGATTTGGGATCTAGAGATCAAAAATGACAGAGCCAATGTCATTTCTCATCCCTTTTATAGCACAATTGCTCCTCCTCCCTGGACTGTCCCTAGTTATTTCTAACATCTTACATGCTCCAAATAGGAGGCTATTTATTTTGGTCCAGATTGGGACATTACCTATTAGGGCAACAATTGGTAGATATATAAGCCTCCTATATGAAAGCCGGACTTGTTTTTGTTCAGACTTGGAGCTAGAATCTGTCTCACATGGGGTATTAAAATGTCTGTTGTACATTCAATTACTATTATACTTCCAGTTGTTAACAACTCTAATTGCCATTGCCACCAGGAAGCCATTCTCCTTCTCCAGGGTGATCACTCTTCAGAAACCTGTAAGAAGGTTGCCAAGTAGCTATAGTTGTTACAAGCCATCTGGTTCTTCCCTCATGTTATTAATTGGTAGCTGTTGACTGTTTCAGGATTTTTCCTCATAATTTTTTAAATTCCTTTTAATAGTTATTATATTGTATTGCTGGTCTTTTTCTTGTTTTTGGTCTTGGACTGTAAATAAATTTTGATTTAATTCTCTGACTATAATAAACATTTGTCTATTTTTTTTAAAAAAATATGTTTAGATGAAGGCCCTAGTCCTCCTGAACAATTTACTGCAGTCAAGTTGTCAGATACAAGGTAATTTCTCTCTTGGACTTTGAGTTAATATAATATAACCAAATTTAGAATGTATCATCTCTCCATAGGTGGTTTTTGTAATCATAGTTTAGGAATAATATTCCCCTTTAACAAATTGATATATATCAACTTTACGTACGTCCATAGGAGTTACAGAATCCCTGCATGTACATATTGAAAGAACATGTGAGCGAGATCCTATAGGTTAGCTTCATTGCTGACACAGTTGGATTCTTCAGCTTCTGCACATGCAGGATGCATACATAGACGTCTCCCATAGGAAAGAGGAAGAGTATGGAATAGAGCCCCTTCAGACTAATTCAGAGCTTGCAATGGATGGTGTTACTTGATATGTCGTCAGGGGAAGGGTAGTGTACAAAACCTCTTCTTCTAGTCTCATTCCCCATCTGCTGATGTTCTGTCAGTGTCTGGAGAGAATGATGGCACCCTTCCTCACACATCTTGCATAAAATAAGTACGCTTGCATTATTGAAATGTGTTCACTGTCTTCTCATTGGACCCTGGAGTATCCTGGAACATAATTTGAAAAAGTATTGACTGCAGGAACAATCTGATCAGTCCCCAAAATAAGTTATTTTCTTTCTTTCAGAATTGCATTGAAATCAGGCTATGGGAAATACCTTGGCATTAATTCAGATGGGCTTGTAATTGGACGTTCCGATGCAATAGGTTCAAGGGAACAGTGGGAGCCAGTGTTTCAAGAGGCAAGTGTTCGAAAATGTTCAGTTCTCCTTCTTAATGTATCTTAACAGAAGAGGATGCACTTTGTAATGATGCTGTGACGAGTATTCAAGGTATCACATTTGTCAGATAAAATTACTCTGATTTGCTCTGAGTTGGACTCTGGCTGTACGGGTCCTTGGAGTTGGCTGAGGCATGGTCTGGCTCAGTTATCTGTGAAGGACTTGAGCCTGTTAGTACAGAGGAAGTGAACAAGTCCTCAGAACTGTAGGCACAGCCATGTGCATGTTAGATTCATAGCTTTCCTGGTCCATCAAGTTCTGCTAGGAGGCCAGGATCCAGGCAGGGATAAATGCATCCTTTTTTTCTTTTTTTTTTTTGAGGGAGGGTGGAGGTCTGCCAGCTCTTAAAGAGACAGTGGTCTGTCCTTTCCTCAAGAAACTATCACTGAATCCAACCCCACTGGACAATTTTGTCCTGTCTCCAACTTTCCTTTTTTAGGGGAGGTTGTTGAGAATGTAGCTGGTTTGCAGCTTCAGAAAGAAATGGATTATCTGGACCCTTTTCAGTTGTATTTCAAACCAGAATATACTATGAGGTAGCACTGATTGTGCTTGTTGGCGATTCCTTTTAGGACTAGAATGGGAATGATGTACCCATTTGAGACAGATTCCCATTTGGGAATCTGGGGCATGATATTTTTGTGATTCTCCTTACTCTGGAGTTGGATTCAGTTGCTGTTTGTAGGAGAGAAATCTAGGCCAGATCTATACGTTGTAGGGTCCCTCAGGCCCCTACATGAAAGCTACTGTCTGAAGTCATCCATCAGTATGGGGTAAGTATTACCAGTATGGTGATGATGCTGAGCTATATATATATATCTACTCCTAGCTGGCCAAGTGATGCCATCAAGGTCCTTTTGTCGTGCCTGGAGACTGGGAAAGAACAGGTTTTGACTCAATCCCAGCAAGACTGAATGGCTGTGGATTTTAGGGCCTATGAAATCTGGGGACTTTCTATCCTTAGTTTTGCTTGGAATAAACTAAATAAGACAGAACTGGTGCACAATTTAGGGTTGTCTTTGCTCCTGCATCAAGAGCAGTTGGCAGCCATGGCTAGGATAACCTTTTTACAAATTCATCTTGTGTACCATTGTACTCATTCCTAAATAAGAAATCCCTATTCATATTCATGCTTTGGTTACCTTTTGCTTGGGGTATTGTGGTAAGTTGTACATGGAGTTGCCCTTGAAGACCATCCACAGCTTCAACTGCTGCAGAATACAGCAGTGTGGATAATTAGAGGACCACCACAGTATACCTATTTAGCACCGTTGCTTTGCAAGCTGAACTGGTTCTCTATAGGCTTCCAAGTACAACATATGATGCTGATTACCATATAATAAAGCCCTTCCTGACACAGGGCCAGGCTCTTTGCTAGACCACCTATATCTGTTTATGCCCATCCAGTGAGATGCACCTGGGTGGGCGTACTCTAGGTCCCTTCTAAAAAACAATGTTCTTGTCTTACTCCAGAGGCATGTCTTTTCTGTGGCAACACTCGCTCTTTGCAATAACATAGCTCCTGAGATTCGGATGGCCCCAACCTTTTTTGGCTCCCTAAGACCTTGAAAACCTGGTTCTTCCCCCAGGCATTGGGCCAGGGTTTTGGATAAGCCCATTTTGTAATAGTTGGGAAGGTGAATATGATTGTGGGTTCAGCTGTATTTTGTCTCTTGTTGTTTCAGATCCTGCTGGTTATCTTTTTGTTCTTGGTTTTAATCCAATTTTAGCCATGCAGACTTGCATTTTGCAAGTTGGGTGGCCATGTAAATCACATAAACAAACACGTGAACAATGAATAAAATAATATGTCCAATCCATAGCCTCTTTAGTTACATCAGATCAGATAGCACATGATGGAAGACTATTCGAAGAGCCCTGTTCAGTCAGGGAAGATTATAATGGGCTTGGTTGGAATGACAAACCTCTGCCCCATGTGTCAAACTCATCTTCAAATTAGATCTCAAGATTCTGTTCCTTACCAGCCCAACTACAAGGTGTTTTCTTTTTCCCCAACTTCAGAGAAGAGATATTTGCACAAACTGGCAAAAAAAAAAAAACTTACAGTACATAAAAATGTCTTTTACTGTCATTGAATAATGGAAGCATCCTTACCTCTGTCTCTGCCTACTTAGGGATTTGACTATTCATATTGCAAGAGTGTGGATTCCCCTTGGACTAAATGGATGAAATACCATATTCTGTAATAAGACCACTTATATTACTGAGACCAAAATGGCACTAATGGAACATTTACTGTAACACATTTTTTGAAGTGACCATTTTGACAGATGGAAAAACATGTTCTCGAAAATAATTGTCAACTTGTTGAATGTAGACTTCATTTTAAATTTGTAATAGTGTTCTGAAATTCTGTGTTATAACACTAATAAAATGGGGAAAAAATCTGGCTGTGGGTCTAAAATCCATACACATGCACCGATAGTCAAGATTTAAAATAACAGTGGGTTTGGAATTAAATGGATATGAAAATTTGTTCCTGCAAGCATAAGCCTTATTTAAATCTTCCATGTGAACCTTAAGAAACAGTACTGCTAATTTGTTTTTGTTTTTTGTTTTTCCTTGCAGGGGAAAATGGCTCTGTTAGCAGCTAACAGCTGTTTTATCAGTTGTAATGAAGAAGGTGATATAATAGCCAAAAGTAAAACAGCAGGCAGTGAGGAAATGATTAAGGTAACTGTTGTGATCTGTAAACACAGGTACTTCTATAAGCAGTACTTGAGTGATACACAGAATGCAGAAACTTGTAGCGTACCACCATGGGAATTTTCTTCAGTGATTGTCATGGTTACAAGAACTGGATGATATACATGTGTCCTTTCAGGTGTTTTGCCTATAACTCACACCATCTCTGATCATCAGCTATGCTTCAAAAATCCAGATAGGGAAAGCTTACTTAATCACCCGATTTAAGTTACCTGTTTTAACTGGCTTGTACCTCAGTGCTTTCTTGAGAGAAAAGGAGGACCCTTGGCAATTTTAGATGAAATAGCTTTAGCTGAAGATTTTTTCCAGAGTTATTTAAGCCCACAGGTTTATATACCAGGATTAATAGAATCCCATGCCTTGATAGAATCCCCAAATCTTTCAAATCAGAAAATATTCAGGAGTTGCATAGCAAAAGTACCTGTCTGTTCCAGCAACAGTGTCTCTTCCATCAGTAGATGGGACAACATGGATTTCATGTTCTGTCTGCATAGAAGAATGTACCTCTATCAACATATAAAACTTAATGCTGGAAGAACAGTTGTACAATCATGCACTATAAACTAAATCTTTGCTATCTATATTCCCAGAGTCAGTCTTATGCAACCTAGCATATTCTAGATGTGTTGGATTATAAGTCTTGTCTTCCCAGTGTGCTGAGAACGATAGGAGTTGGAGCCCAACACTCTTGGAATGTATCAAGTGGAAGAAAAGCTGCTCTGTTTCTAAGGGGTTTAATATGAGATGTTATTAAAGCAGATTCTTCATGCACTGATGCATTCTTAGGATTAGTGAAACTGGATAGGAAAATTTGGAAGGAAAAATACAAGGAGGGAAGATAATTTGGAGTTGGAATTTTCAGCATCTGTAATTTTCTCTTCTCATTTAGATCAGAACATGTATAGAAAGAGAAGCCAAACAAAAGGATGACATTTCTGAGGAAGATAAAGGAAATGTAAAGCAATGTGAGATCAACTATGTGTATGTAACACAAATTTATTCACTCTCGGTAGAAAATAAAGCAAGAACAGCAAGTTGTATTTTCACCACTAAGAACAGTTTGCTTCTTCAGAGAAAATTTTTCAAGATCTCTGGACTGGGATGTCTGAATACATTTTATGCTTCAGCTGCTGCTAGAGCTCAAACCTGAATATATGGCAGATTTGGTTTTTAAAGCAACTTGTTTTCATAGAACAAGGATATAAACCTTTGCAGTTAGATACAAAAGTGTTATAATTCCCAACTCATCTTATGGTTTATCATTGGGGTTAATCCATAAATGGTGGATTGTTTTAATCCATTTTACTGTAAAGATGTCTTGAATATGTTCTGTAAATACACATTGATACACACACATGCAAGACTTCTCCCCAGTACCACGTCCCTTTGATTTCATCATGAAACTTGCCTTCTCTGGCGTATGCTACTAATGCCCATAAGTAAAAACTGCAGGTACGTCTTACAAGATTTCTTCACTTTGCTGGTTTGTATCTAGCCATGCCCTTCTGCTGTATAATATATGCTGTAAGGAGGTCAAGCAAGCCAGTTGACTCTTCACTGTCCCCAGACTTCTCTTCAGTTTTCCATTTTTTTCTGTCGCAAGTGATACTTAGAATTCTATAGCTTTTGGAAAAGTTAATCTTTACAAGAGTGCTTTTATTCTATTAAAAATACTTCCGTACATATCAGGGTTCACCCAACTATTCTGATATTTCTCCCATGCTTTTCAGTGGTCTATATTTTGGCTTCCATCTCTCAGGAATCAATCACGGTCACTATTAGAGAGAAGAATTATATTTCATTTAAACCAAAGGCGTTAATCACCTGTGTTTTACTTTCTAGAAAGAAGTTTCAGAGTTTTCAAGATCACAAACTCAAAGTAAGCCAAGAAGATAGTAAAATTCTGAAAAAGGCTAGGAAAGAAGGCACTTTCCATGAGGCCCTGCTGGACAGGTACTCTTATTTATGTACTGTTACTTATTTTAAGAGTCTCAGAGCATTTATAGTTAAGCCATGATAACTGTCCATTAAAGGTTCTGAATAGCAGTCCTCCTCTTAACTAGAGGGTAGCAATGCTGACATGCTGTGTATGGGAAAAAAATTGTTTAGGGTTAGGGTTAGGGTTTGCTTTTCCCAAACTTAAGTACAAATGTGTGCCCCACAATACAAGTATACAAATAAATAGCAAATATAGATATGACAGCAGTTATATTTTATTTCTGCTTAATTTCAGATTGATTGATTGATTAAACTTGTATCACTGCCTATCTTAAATACAATAATCCTCACAACAAAACCAATAAAAACAACAATGAAACAATCATGTCACCTATACACAAAGCAGCATAATTCTCTCCCTTTGGGTTCCATCTGATAATTGCAAGCAGTATTTTGGAAACATTTAAAATCGTTCCTTTTGGGTTGGGGAGTTTGATATTATAATGAAATAAAAATTAAAAAGAAAGAGAAAGAAAAGCATTATACAAAAAGCATTTAGATAGCCCACTGTCTGTTATTTTTTTCCCATTCTTTCCTTCTTCTCTGAGTGCATTTGGAAATTACTTAAACATTAATTAAGTTTAAAAATGAAACTTATAAAATTAACAGTGATCATGGACCTTGTATGACTGAATCTCAACAGATATTAATTAAATGTTTTGGTGGGAGGAGAAAACCTGAACGTTTTTTGGAGGGAAATGCTCCTTTGTGTGCAGGATCATGGACCTTGTGTGACCAAAACTCCACAAATATTAATTAAACCTTTTTTGGTGGGAAGAGGAAACCTAAACCTTTTTTGGAGGGAAGTGCTCCTTTGTGTGCAGGAATTTCTGGGGCCTGGAGCAGGTCAGCTACCCCTGCAAGCCTGTCCCAGGCCAAAGGCACAAGCTCACCACCTCAACTTAACTGCATCAGTGAGGGACGATTGGCACCAGCGCAGCACAGACTGAGCGGGAAATCCTGTCATTAAGTGCTTGCAGTTAAGCTGAGGCAGCGAGCTTGTGCAGGAATCCTCTCAACTCACAAGCCCAGATTTTATGGTGACTAAATTGATGATGATGGTGGTGGTGGTGGTGGTGGTGGTGGTGGTGGTTGGTCACACAGTCAGCCAGATATTTAGACTTGGATTTGGCATTTGTATCCACCTATTGAGTCCTTCCCAAGGACCTGGGATAGGCAATTGTTTGATGATGTTAAAGGTATCATCGCAGGAGTCAGCTGTTCCAAGTAAAGCTGCCTTTTGCAATTGACCGATGGTGATTTTGTCAATGCCGATGGTGTTCAAGTGGTGCGCCAGATGTTTTGGGATTGCACCTAAGGCCCCTATAATTATTGGTACTATCTTTGCTTTCTTTTGACATAGTCGTTGTACTTCTATTTCCAGGTCTTGTCTGCTAGTTTTTTTGTGTACTGGCCATGTAATACTTTGCATTGCCATGTCTCTTTTCTATTCTTAATGTGGTCTTTCTTATAGGCCAGTTTGGTCTCTTTGGTATTCAGTAAGTTAGATGGTGTACTAGCTTCAGTCCATCTTCTTCACTGTCCTTCGTATGTTCTTCCAGTGCCTTTTTTCTTCTTCAGCTGTCAAGTATACTTGCAACATTCCATGCCCACCTATGCTCCTTGGCAAGTAGAGTCTGTGAGCATTGCTGCGTGGATGAAGGGCATGATTCATTGTCATTATTTTTCTGATCTTCCTATCCAGGGCTTTTAGTTCCGCTTGAGTCCAGTCCACTATTCCGGCTGCATATCTAATGACTGGAATTGCCTAGGTGTTAATCACCTTGATGGTATTTCCACCACTGAGTTTGGACTTTAAGATCTTCTTCAC